TTTCACAACCTCGATTTTCATATTATCTACACACCTTTCATTCGAGAAAAAGAAAAAAATGCGATTTATTGGAATAAATCATATTTCTCAATATAGTGTTTGTATTTGATATAAAAGTTATATATTTTCCCATATTTATCTGTATAATAAAATGCACGGGAAAATTTCAGTAAAGGCAAGTTCACAGATCTCTTCAGTAAAGCCTTGTGTTCCCCAGAAGTGAAATCCAGAAGGTAGGCCTAATATGTTATCAAGTTGAAAACATGAACACAATTGCACTTGTTAATTTTCTATAACTTATGAATCAAGTAAAAAAGCAACACGTTGAAGTGCACATTAACAGTGCACTGAAGCGTTTGGTTTCCATTCTTCTATAACCACAACCTTTTGTCGCCAAGAGAGCAATATCCATCTACAGCTTTGGTTGTGCTTTGCGGATCAATTTTGTCTCTTCGTTTAATTTCTCTTCCTCGAGATCCATTTTCTGGATTTTGGCCCCTGCAAAAGAAACCCCCCCCCCCCCAAAGATACTCATTATACATACGAGTGTGATGCCTTTAATATGGCGCTAGTCCTTGCAAGTGTTGATGATGAATGTACATGTGCCTCTGTGCTGCCATCAGGAAGCTGTCACAGTGATGCCCTGTCACTTGTTTCATCTTCATGGTTCTCACACAAGATGCTAGGGTCACTCGCACCAGGGGGATTAAAGCATATTATACATCGTAGTGTTGCTTACATTTTTACATAAATACTGTTTGGCTAACTCTTGGCATTAGAGGTGCAAGATCAGCATTATTTACTCCTGTCAGATGCATCGTTCTGGTTAATGACACTGAAAGACTTGTTCAGGAATTTAGCTAAAACTAGTTTGATACTGATGGAAATTGTGTGTCAACACTTCTCCCTTTCGATTTCCTGGGCAGTGTCCAGTGGAATTGTGGGATGTTAAGATTCAGAGATACATGTAAGCTGTACGTGTATTAGTTTTCAAGAATATACTAACTGCAGTCAACTTCATGAAAACTTAAGGTAGAGGGTTTGCAGATACACCATGTGGAAAATATCTCTTTTGAGTATGTGTGGTTCTGAAAAAAAAAACCGGTTACTCGACGTTTCGGGCAGTGAGTGCTCTGTCCGTCTTAAGGACAGCTTCTTTCAATGCCCGATGCTATCCCCGAGAACAACTCACTCTCAATTCCCTCCATAATGCAGGCGAGATGATTCTGGCAATGCAGAACGTGTCCCTCCTTCAGTTGGTGGATTCTTAATCCGGAACAAAGAGCGACCAATGTAAATATTAATTGTCTACAAAAAATGCACGCTGTGCATTTAAAAACGTACGTACCACATTAGAAACCCGTCGGGCTTCTAGCGTGTTTAGCAGGTTTTTAAGAAGGTTCTTTACACTTCACACATATTGAATACTAGATCATATTTATGGACTGAACAATGCGAACTGCATTAACGAATGAATTGAAATATCTGAAAGAATTGTAGCAAGAACGTAGTTTTAATTTCCTAGAATCTCCATTAAAAACAATGGGTCAGTGGCGTATCTGGTATTTGGGTTGGGAGAGGGGCAATATGTGTTCTTTCTTTTGAAATAATTGTCCATTTTTATGATCGCTTTAAAGGATCTGCAGAAGCATGGGCATTTTCAATTCCTTTTAAAAAGGAAAAAAAAAGTCGATGCGATTTTTTTTAAGCCCATCAGTCCCGGCCATGGCCCGATGACAAGCAAAGCGTGGCAACCATGACAGGTTTGTCAGTCAATTTGTCAAAAAATGTTACTCGCTTCGCATCTTGCCAACATTCTGGGTTTTTTTTCACTTCTTTACTTCTTCTTGGGTTCTGACAACAACGGGGTTTGTGGCATTAACTGCCACTGCGATTTCATCCCAAGCTTGTTGGTTTCCTTGTAGCGTAATCTCATTCGTAAGCAAGGACTGTAGCTTTTCTTAGTGGATCGAGTAACCCACAAAAAAATGCGAGCTTTCACCCTCCGTAAAAGCTGGGCAGCACGGTCTGCGCCTTTCTTTCTCTATTTTCCATTTCTGACTACAACTTACTGTGTTGCATGTCAGTCAGTGCATTGTGTACATGCCTTGTATGGTATGTTCGCAAACCCGTGTACCGCTCTTTTTTCGGCAACCATGGGTATATTTTGTGAATCATTACACCAATGGGATTAAAATAACAACTTGCTCATTGCAATGGCTTAACTTCGGGGTCTCACCGTAGAGCAAGAACCGGGTTTTATACTCAAGACCGACTAGCGGAGGAAGGCGGCTATGATCTACTGGCTAAAACCCGTCGTTTAAGACAAAATCTATATGTTAACCAAATTTGGACGTACCGTTCACGCAGAATGAAGAATCCTATAAGCTGGGCTAAAGTGTGAAACACAGATAGCAACAATTACTGAATCACTGTCAGTGCTGAAAGCTTCGCTGCTCTAGACAACACGCCGATTACGTCAAGCATTTCACAGTTATGCATCTCCTATTGCCAAAATGTTTTCTAAGCGCCACGCAGGTACTCTTATGTGTTTACATACTCATCACTCAAAAAGGTTTGTGAGGATAATGAGCCTTAAAGAAATTACATTTCAGACACATTGAAGATTATTTTAAACAAATTTATATGTTTATATGTATTTCGCAAACCTTTAGGAGTCTATGAAATAAATGGTGAGTTCATATTCTAAACTTGTCATAAGGGTTTATCTATAAACGTGTCAAAACATTCAGAATGGGTTAAAGAAATTTGTTTATATTTCCTTTGACAGAAACAACACTGGGTTTTGCAGTGTGAATGTTTGAAATTCATTCCAAGTGTCATTAAAATTGGGAGTCATAGGCCAAGGTTTGATAAAATTTTTTATAAAACGCTATAGAGCAGCAAAAATACCAAAAGAAGCCACGCACCAAAACGATACTTTTAAGGTTAAAATGTAAACTTGAACATAGTGATAACGAACACTGTCGTCCCTTCTAGCTCACTTTTACAACGAAGGTGTACCAACTCCAAACAACATTATAAACTGTCACACGGATGCATCACATAAGGGAAAAGAATGAGCACGTATACCTCAAAGACACCGAGAATTTACATTGGTTGATTTATACACAGGACATCAGAGGTGGCTCGATTTTATTACCTATTGCAAATGGGCTAGGGGAACGTCCGTCTCGAAGCGTGTCCTTCCGTTAAGCCCGCCCCTGGATTTGGAGACGACACGGACCCAGTCTTTCGGCTTTTGTCTTGTGGTCTTGTTCTTGTCGCTGCCTGCCTTGTTGGAGAAAAATTGGTCCCCCTCCAATGCTCGAATTGTTGACCGCTCCCCTACTCGTCCTTATAAAAAGAGTTCATTTTCCTTGCACGATTTGGCAATTCCCATTAATTTATTGAATCTTCTCATTCTTGAAACCGTGCGCAACTTGTTTTCAGTGAAAATCGACAACCAGATTATGCTGGCACAGTGCTCGTGGGTAGATGGTATACCGGTACGCGCGCGTTAAATACCGCTTCAACCAAAGGGGTGCAGTGATTTACCAAATGTACGCGCGCGTCACGCTGAAGAGTGTGCGTATGAGTTCGGTACCACTGCAGTTAAGGCGTCTAATCGGATTAGTCTATAGTCGACGACTATGGATGCTTATATTGATATAATTATGCAGTTGATATTTGTGATATATTTGTAATGTGGAACCGCACTGGCTTTAATACATGTACACTGCTCATGAATAATTTAGTATTGAGAGATTTGCATACAGTCTGTATATGTCAAGGGTCACTGCATGACCTTATTCCTGGTGTACGTGAATAGAACGTTTTCTCAGTTTGGTAGCTCCCGTGCACATGTGTGAGTTATTACAGTAAATCCCACGGGAAATACACTTCAATGTTCATTCGAAGTCACGGCGTATTGGCAATGCAAGAAGAAAATTCGGGATAATTATTTGCCGATTGGAATTTTATGTCAATGTTTTGTAATCTAAAAGAGTCAAATCAGCTGGATATTCCGTCATCTGTGGTGTCCATTAAGTGGTTTAAGTCTTGTTGTCAGAGGCTCATGTTGGCTGTTTCCTTTGCTGGCTTTTTTGAACGGAGACCTCGTCAGTATTTGGTGGTGTATTTCAGTTCGCTTCAAAACCCTTTAAAAACTCTTGTACTTGAATCTTTGTCGGCACTGAAGATTGAACCAGCTGCTTCACAAAAATGTTTATTTTTTGCAACGTGTAGTGGCATACGCAGACTGAACAGTGGGTCGTGATTGGCTGCAGTAGTATAGGGCCTGTTCGTTTCGTGTAGATCGGGATTGCGATAGGGATCTGACGTTGGTTCACTAATACCAGAACCCGCCTAATGGATGGAGCGAACCAGCGTTAGGATCCCAGATCGAGATAAAGATCTGTATGAAACAAACCGGCCCTCCGTTCCAGTACTCTTGAAGCGTACTGAATGTAAATTGCTCGATTAAATTACGTCGATGTCTACCGACGATAAACTCAATGCCCCATTATTCACCTCCTTGATATTACATAGTTCCAGCGGACTGTTTGCCATGATCCCTGTAGGAACGAATTCTGCACTCCTGTTTGCTTTTCTTGTACACGGACTTAACCCCTGTGAACAGATATAACACAGTCCAAGCGTCTTGTCTGAAGGGGGAAAGCACAGAATGTTAAGATTCAAGAGTGATTTTTTGTTGTTGAGAACGCCAATTAATGTACAGGTGTGGTGAATCTTGGCATTATTCCGGAAATAAAATCGAAAAATTAAATCAATTTATTGCACCAAGCCGTAGAAGAGCAATCCCATCTGCGGCCCACACGAACGAAATGATCTGATTACGCGCTGGGTTTTCCATCACCTGTCAGTCACCTGACAGAGATGACAGTGACCAATCAAAATAGAGCCGGTAAGGACGTGTTCGCGCAGAGTGGATATTGGCTGGAAAGCACCAGAAGACGAGCAGCGACAGGAGTCACAGGTGGGACTCCTGTAAATCTCTGAGTGGAGAGCGAACCACTCTGACGGCGCGTGGAGTTCTCTGTGACTGCTGGGGACGCAGACCCGTAACTCTCCTGGACACCTCTCCACTATGGTAAGTCCCTAAAATATATCACGCGAAAAGGATGGTGCACGAATGAAAGGGCCACTGATATAAAATTACAAGAATTTTTTCGAGGAGGGCTTTTTGAGGAGGATAAAAGAGATGCATGCCCATAAGGTGTGAAAGAAACGACAGAAAAACTATTCCGAAGGAAGAAACGTGCGATCAACAACCAACCAATATTTCGGGCAAGAAGACGAATGAGGTTTAGAATATAGTTCTTGATTTCCTTCTTTAGATTTGACGTAAGATTTCTGATACGATTTCAACAATTACGTTTTAGTCCAATTATACAAGGAATCTCAGGGGTAAGAAAAGAAATAGATGAAGTTTTATAAATCCGGACGCTGTACAATAAGAGATAAATGCAGAGGGTTAGCACTGACTGTTATATCTACACGTCCCTGCAACCAAACGGGCCGAGCAGGCTTGAATTTTATCCACAGATCGATAATTGTCATTTTATCTACGAATTTCTCGTGCACAGCAGGGATATAAAACGCCCAGATTTATCATCTTTTTTTCTCTACTTGGTATACCAAAGGCAAAATGTCGAACACAGCCCAGTCCCCAACCCTCTTTCCTAACTGTGGGCCCCGCTGTTCATTTTCTCGTGGACTCTCTTTCTTTGAATAAGGTATAGTTCTTAACAAGCACCGGATAGATTATCAGCAACAGTAGGTACACTGTTTTACCGTTCAGCCCAACTACAAATCGGACATATCCAATTTTTATCTCACAAAGTACAGAGCAAAAAATAAGCTTCTAATCACCAGTCATTCACTTAGTAGAATTATTCTCCACGGCCTCGAATAAAACCTAATTGTGGCTACTGCCAAAAGGAAATATATATCAAGGACGCCTACAGTAATCTTTAGCCTGATAAGGGTATTAAATGTCTGTTCCATTAGCCGTAGTTGAAGATCAAGATTATGACATGCAATGCCGTCAGTTTTACATGGGGAGAAATAGTGAGAAATTATATGCAAATCTGATGCTCTTGACCTTGTAGTCAACCAATCATCCGAAACCAGTTTCTTTAAAGTAGGCATTCTCTTCCATTTTGGTTTTGATATGCGTTTTTAAAAGCCACAAATATCCAGACTCGTCACTCTTTGAGGGTATTCATTCCCTCTGTAGACAGTTTCTATCAGTTTGAGAAAAAGGACCTTTGACCGGAGTATTGCACTTTATTGATCCCTCTCCTTCGTACTCAATATCCCTCTGCCCTTTCTCTTTACTATCACATCCATAATTACATTAATTGATCACACTAACCCAGAATTTCAGCGTAGCCATAGCTCGGTAACTCTTAAATATGACCTTATACAAATCGTGATCGAATTTATTTTAGTTATATATGTATTTATTCTTGTTCCTCTGGGGCTAAATCAGCTAAGCATAAGCTGTTTTCCACAGATGCCCAGCAGTTTACAAGAAACAAAATTTTACCATACGAAAATTTATCACCAAATTAAAATCAAAATTTGCAGTCTGAACGTAGCGCAGACTACAAACCTATTTGAAAACCAAGCACTGCAAGATATGAAATATACGAAAATTACGAATCTCACTTTAAGACAGGACAATACCACATCAATACGATCAAATAAAATCATCTATAAAAAAAAATCATGCCAAGAATTCATTAAAAATTCAAAGAGAGCTAGTGCACAAGTGTAATGTGCACTAGAATATTAAAATGCAACTATATTGTCATAACGATGTGCTGAATTTCCCTATAAAAATGACAACAAACCCTCAGATCGAGTAGCCTAGAAGCGATAGTTTGCTGTCTGACCCTCAGCTTTCTCTCAGCAACAAGCTTTGACCGTGACCTGGCGGACTTACCGTAATGCACAAAAGTAATTACCGTAGCACGGTCAGTTGATTGGACGTAGTAATACGTACCAAACGCAATTTAGGCCTTAAGCTCTCAGTATAATGCAAAAACAGCCAGCAACATTTGGTAATTGCAAACTCGAGCATTTTAATCCCTTTCTGTATATTTCATTTGCTTGAACACACACGCATCATTATTTACGATTAGAAACCTTTTCAGGTTTTGAAGCAAAGAAAGGGGAAATTGCATTTCTGTACCGATGGTTGAATGGCAATCGTCGACACATGTTACAAACACGGGGAGGGGGGTGTCACAGTCAGGTTATTTTTCGTTCAGGCGCATGCGTTCCTGCCCTTCTTGTCACTACCATACCTGTCACTCCTGGTAAATTAACCCCGTAGCCAATTGGCTTGCCTGGGCCACTCGCACGAATTCACTGGACTGTGTACTGTGCAAGTCTTTCATTAGATCTCTGGAAAGTTTACTAATCGACCGAAAAACATCCAGGGTGAAAAACACAGGTTGTCTCTGTGGTAAAAGGAAATGGATTGACATATGAGGACCTTTACAAGTTGCATTCGACGTCAGGCTGGGATGGATCCGAGTCGGTTGTTTTGCACGACACCGATTGTGTCGGGGAATAACTGTCAGGCAAAAAATACTGCCTGTCACATGTTGCAACCGTTGAATAATAAATCTCAGCATGGCCGTATAAGTGATGGTCCATGTTTAGCATATACCGATACAGACGTTTTAACTATGTGTCTGCGTTTTGACGAACTGCATGATAAATTGCTTGGTGCACGACAACACAAGACATGCTTTAGCGTAAACACTTGAAATAGACTGAACAAACGCAAGGTATCACTTAAATGCGACGCACAATTTCAAATTTGGAGTTCAATGAAATGGCAAGGAAATATTTCACTTGGGAATTTTAGATGTGTGAACATGAAAACAATCTGTTGCATGAATTACTTCATTACAATTCAGAATACGACAAAAGGTACGAATAACAATGGCCTAACTCTGTTTGAAGTTTGCCTTATTTTTCAAAATTAAATTTGATCCCAATACAAATCTCGGTGAAGCATTATTTTCAGAGATTTAGCAAATAGACTGAGTATACGTAATGGCATTAGATTATTGAATATTCCATTATTTCTGTTGTGCTCAGATAATGTTTCGCTCATATTTTAATAAAAGCTGGGGCACCCCAGAGGGCCTGGAAGGAAATTTAACTACCCCCTGTATATGCGCCGTGTACATTTCACAACTTCAGATGGGGGGCACGTGGGGACACCGGAGAATTCTGCCGGGGGATGCCCGGTAGTGACCTTACTGGGATCAATTTTCAGCCACATTCACATAAAGAGAAGAATTCCAAAGGGTGGGGAGACTGAAAACAAAGAAGAAATAACAAACCCTCGAAGAATTAGAAAGAAGGTCTTTGCAAAAAGAACAATGAAACCCGAAATTGTTCAACTTCGATGGAATCCGTTTAAATTAGTCGAAAATTGAAAACTACAGCAAATTAAAACAAGAATTTTAGGAAAAACGATGACAATTTTTAAAGCTTACAAAAGTCAAGAAATTTTATGGAAAATTACCTTCACGAGTAACAGTCACCCTTCTGGAAATCAGGACGATCTATTGTGCCTTTTTTACGCACTTCTCTGATACCAGAAGTTCATCATGTAAAAAAAAAGAAAAAGAAAAAAAATGCCATTTTTCTAATAGGACCCATCATTGTTTGCAAAGGTAATGCGTCAACCATAAATAAGGGAAGTATTGACTGGTTCGATGCAATGATACAGAAAAAAGTGTGAAAACTGTGCGGTTTGTTTCTCAACCAGATTAGACTAAAGGCAACCATACAAAACAAAGCAAAACAAAACAAAATAAAAAACCTAACGCCTGGACGTCAAATTCTTCATCTTGCCACTCTTAAAACGAAGGTCAACCTACACAGACGCGCTATCAAAAACCAATTTCATGCAGATAATGTCCTGTTGGCGTGCAGCGGTAATACTGTACCACTATAAATCCTGCCTGTACCGTCATTGTTGGATGTAAGATTTTATGACACATCATTTTCGTTTCAAGGGTTTTTTGTCTTTTTTTTTTAGAGGCCGTGCACCATGCAAGCACAGCTCCCCGTGACATGACAAAGGTCTTGTTTTTTCTTTTTCATTTGCCATTGAAATTATCAAACGAAGACAACAATATTGCGTGTTTCATCATTTAATTTGCATGGGATTTTCCCGTGAAATTGATCAAACACAGGGAACATTATTGCATTTGAAATAATGTAATTGTGCTTCTGTGAAGGGAAGTGACCACTGAATGAGTTCCTCAACCCCTGTCGAGAATTCGCCGTTGGGTTCGCAACAGCCACCCAGGTGTCCACTTTAGTAATCGTTTTAGAATGCAGCAGTGCGACCATTCGGGCTGTTGTCCATGAAGCTAATTGGCCACTTTGTGGTCATCACAGTGGAATCCAAGGCAAAAGAAAAACTGGTTGAACTAGTTATAAAAAACCTACTTGTCATCACACGATTGAACATGTTAGTTGACTCTGAAAAAAGAATCAGAATTGGCAGACAAATTAAGGAGATGGTTATACTAAGCATTTGAATTGATTTGTAATGAAAGTTTTTCCGAGAAATCAGCTCATGGCAAGTTCACCACTTTTAATCGAAGGCTTAGGGAGGATAACTGGAATGAAACCATGTGATCCAAGTTAGTACCAAAATAAAGATTTACCAAAAGACAGACAAACTGCCATAAACGAACTATGAGGCTCAGGTGAGAACATAATAGTATTGATCTCAACGCACCTGTCTCATACTAATCCACTTTGAGACATTTTTGGTCTGGACAATTTCAGGAACCACCTGGTTTCGCTAAATTAAACTCCCTCCATTTCCGGGACCACGCCTTCATTCCCCTTCCGAGTCCCGCAAAGGCATTTCCGTCATGGTATTCGCGACAAGGTTAATTGTCACACCTCTGTCTTGGATACTGTCCGTTTATTGGCCCAGAACGATCACATGACAGGGCGACATATCCGCCTATCACACACACGTACGCGCGCGAAACAAAAGAAATTCAGGAAGTTGGAGAACATTGATTTGCCGTCCTTTAG